AAGGGCGACGTTGCAGAACGTTGCACCAGTGGCACGAAATCAGGGATAGCGGGGGATTATATGACACGATCAGCATTTGGATTATACAGAGTCGAATGATAGTACAATTCCTGAACTGAAAAGCATTTGGAAAGACGTAGCAGTGGCCAAGCTTAGGTACTTTGTCGGAATTAGCTGCAGGTACTGAAGAAAACCACGAAAAACTTCAATCATGACTTTACTGCTCGAGATTCGAACCCAGAACCCCTTGAAATAAAAGAAAACTTCTTTCTTAATTCGCTTAGTGGGGGGTGGAGTTCAACTGGGTCCACTCGGCACGGCGGCCACTGATTGGCCTATTGTAGCCTGCCCCGGGTGGTTATGATGATGGAGAATTTGGTGGAATGAAGACTGACAGGGGAAACCGAAGTACTCGGAGAAAACCCGCCCCAGCGCCACTTTGTCCACCACAAATCCCACTTGAGCAGACCCGAGATCGAACCCAGGCCGCCGCGGTGGGAAGCCAGCGACTAACCGCTTGAGCTATGGCGCGGCCAAACTTGAGTGTTACCACTAGACCAGCATTCTCAGTTAACGGTTTCCCTATGCTTAACTAATCAAGTGCTATGCCATGAAGGCGTATAAAGGAGTGGATGTATAGATCCACATATTCTTGACTTCAGTACAAATAAGAAGAGTGAGTTCAGGTTCACGCCCCGGGGAAAGAGCCCCCGGTACCCATTTGAAAGGGAAACTTCTCAGTTTGGCAGATAGAAAACGCGTGTTATGAAAATATAAAAGCTATGCACTTTAAAATACCGTAATCCATCTACAGAATAAAAGCTGAACCCAAATTATGTGGCCAATATATGTAACCATTCACATAGTGTTCCGTCTGAATTATATTTTTCAGTCAATGGAATGTACTTTAAAATATTACTTCAGGATAACGAATTAAAATTATTGGGGGCATTTATTTCAATTTCATCAAGTATGGAAATCCCACGTAACAGCGACGTGCCTTAATGACTGCTATTAGACCAAATGCACAGTGCAGATGAGTCCTCCAAAAGATATGTTGCCTGAAGATGGCCTTGTAAGGCTGAAACACGTAGTATAAACACCAAATATACATATATTTTAATAATTTTAATGACATTTTAAACACTTAACTAACATTTAGTGAATTAAATGTGAGTTAATACTGTTAAATTAATGTTGTTGCATTATAGGCGGAAAACAAGATTATAAGTTATACCTCAGTGCAACTTACTTACTTCTGGAGCTGAGCCCTTCTTGAGGAGAAGCCAAATCTGCAGCTACTCAAGTATTTCCCATCATTTTATGGAACCCGAAGGTTCATTACCGTGTTCACAAGAGCCCTCCACTTGTCCCAATCCTGAGCCAGAACAATCCAATCCATCCCATCCCATCTTATCTCTCTAAAATCCATTTTAATATTGTCCACCCACCTACGCCTTGGTCTTCCCAGTGGTCTCTTTCCTTCTGGCTTTCCCACCAATATCCTAATTGCGTTTCTTTTCTCCCCCATGCGTGCTACATGCCCTGCCCACCTCACCCTCCTTGGCTTGATCATTCTAATTATACTTGGATACCTCAATGCAACAGGATGCTGAAATATGATATTAACATTTTACAAAATTAAATAATAAATTATAATCAGTTTAATATGGGATACCTGTTACGGATTCCAACTAGTCCTTATACTGATGATACTAGGTATGATGATATTTTGTATTCAAACGTAAATTATAAAGGTCAAAATAAATTTCAAGAGTAAACGTGTAGCCCTCTATTAACTGAACTACATAATTTCATGTGCCCAGGCTACAAGAACTGCAATTACAGATCTTCTACAATCTAACCATCTGTAACTTTCCACAACCGAGTTCTCTTACATACCCTCAAAACACGGCCACCGCAGTCGGTGCAGCGCCTGGCTACGGGTTCTTTCCTCCACTTCGTTCAAACCGGCTTTGGGGTCCACCCAAAATCCTATGTAATCGTATGGGAGCGTTTTTCCGGGGGATAAAACGGCCGGGGCGTGAAACTGACCACTCAATTCAAGCTATTGCAGAGGTCAAGGAAATGTGGATCGATACATCCACTCCCCCATACGCCTTCATGGCGTAGTGCTTAATTTGTTAAACAGAGGGACAAATTTACCTTTTTTACTTGTCATCGAAATACGCAAAAAACAAATATATAATATATTGCCTAGCAATAAGAAAAACCTCATAAAAGTTAAACAAGTATATATACGTGTATATATTACTACAAAGGGATTTAAAATATAATTTTCAATCTCTCCTGGATCTAATTTGTCATAGACTGATTGTTTCCATCGCAGTATAAATTTCGATTACAATTAACAACTGCTTTTATAAATATATCCGATAGTCTGCCTTCATGTACGTATTTACCATAGACTAATATATGTGAAACAGACGTCTATTACCCACATAATTCCAGTTTGTAAACGTGAAAAATACTCTCATAATTACTGCAGTAGATCGCTACATTTCATAAGCTTCTTGTCGCTACATAATATTTGGAAATACAGTAAACTCTCGATTATTCGGGTTAATGGTGGGGATAAAAATCACGATTAATCCAACCCCGGTTAAGACAAATTTTATTAAAAGTAGTACTGTAATACTGTACCTTCATAATACCATAGGCTTACCTGTATTTAAATTTATTCAACCTCATTTTTATGTCCTCTCATGGCTTATTTAACACTTTTTTTACATTACACTGAAGTATGAATTAGTTATTTCAATCACAGTCTTCAACAACATCCAACACTTTTTACGAAATTCACACTCAACACTTAAAAATTTGATATTGTCGTTTACTTTTTTTGCGGCATTTTCCTTTTCCTGTTGAATACTTAACACAACACGCTTCCTTTTACACCCTGACATTTTGTTAACGCACTTGAAGATCGAGACAAAGAAACTAACTGGGGCGATGTATCTGCCCTTTAAACTTTCCACAAATCCTTGCATTCTTTCACCCCTACCCTAGAACAATGTGTTAGCATAACGGGACTAAAGAATGCAGAGCTCGGTTCACACTAGTGCGAAAATCGTGTTACAACTCACCGTGTGAAACAAAAGTGAATGAATATTAAACAACATATAAGCCTCAAAAAAGCCTCAGTAGCCGCAAACCGGTTAATCCGTCCCCGGATAATCGAGAGTTGACTGTATTTCATATCTTTCTCCTAACGAGCTCTTCTCTTCAGCTGTTCTGAGACATCATTTGGGATATTAGAAAATGTGGCGTGTTTTTTACTTCTTGTTTCTAGTTACTAACAAAGAAGGATAGCACACAAACCCATGTATCTTTAAATAAAACACGACAATGTTAGTTAGGATTCTACCATCGAATTATGGATGGTATGTATGGACTGGTAACATGATGTAACATTATCAGTACAGTTAGAAGCTACTATTACAATATGTTCACCTATTGATGTAAAGGTGTCCCTCTGATGATGGTCTCTGAAGACCGAAACATGTAAGGTCATAAATAATTGAAATAAGAAAAATCTTCACCAGTCACACTAGACGGAACTGTTTAACTTTTCATTATATTATTAGTGTGACGGACCAGAATAAACAAATTAAATTATCAGTGTATTTCTATAATTACTAAGAATTATTAAAAAAATAAATAAATGCATTAAATTTAAAAAGAAACGTGTGAAATGGAATTAATAATTCCATAAACCCAAATAATTTCATAAGTAATTTCATAATAATAATCATTAAATTCAACTAATGAAATTAACGTATCGATCAATACGCGCCCATGTCATATAAATCAATAAAACGCTTAAAACCAAGTGTCTATGATTTTTGTTTCCCACTGTGGCGACTATGGCGACAGCACCAATTGTCTTCTGGGAGGTGACAAAGCGTTGTCTGATACAAGTTTTACCCACTTTCAGAGGACAAAAATTGTCTCCTTCTTCAGGACAGAGAAGTAAACCAAGAAAGCAAACAGCAAGCATGCCTGATTCTAAGAGACTACACGGCGTCACATCCCAGAAAACAGTATTCTTCGTTGATGATGCAATTTTATTAAACCACATGATAGTATAGAGCTAAAGTGTGTGACCATCTGACCACGAAAAGCAAAGTGTATACAAAAAAAATGAAGGTATGCCTTCCTGTATTTAGTTTATGAAAATGTTTAAGATATTTCTGCCCTCTTAGTTGCTATCTTCATTATATTAATTTTACCATAATACATTTGTTGTCATGCCCTGGCTACATTGCTATATTAACAACAAAAAACATAGAATGTCGGCTACTTAATATTATAGTATAGCCTACTAGTACTTAATTGCTTAAATAGAAAGTATAGTACTGATATGATAAGGCGTTTCTACCCTTCATAAGGGACATCTTGAATCACTGCAGTCCATAGATAACTTGAAGTCCATCAAGCGTAGCTTATTTTAACAAGTTTTAACCACTTACTGTTGATATGCAATCCTTATTGTAACTATATGAACTCTTTAGTCCTAATTTGAAGTACAATACGTCACTTTATGACATTACAGTATCAGCCCAGGTTCAAACAATGCTTTAAGCATTTCCTTCATGGTGTTGACTATCCTTCTGGTGATGGCCAATAACGGCCAAGACATGTAAAAGGAAAACCTTTACTTAATTTCTGCTATTACACTTTATGAACTTGCACTAGTTATTTAAGTTTCTAACACTATCTGAAACAGCTTTTAGGTTAAGTTTAGCAGCTCCCTTACCTTCTCCCGCTTTTTAAGACATCGATACAGTGACGTTGTAAATAACTGTTGCACCTTCCCGCCAAATGTTCTCTCAGTTTCCCATAAATGTCACGTTTTCAATTCAGAAATCACACGCAATAATACTAAGCAGGCGAATTTTAACTATTCATACACATTCTTAGTAAAATATATTTACAATTCTAACATTACAGTGCAATGAAGCCACTTTATAAAAGAACAAAAGCGTTATGTTGCGAACAAGTAGTCCGTAACGAGATTAGACACTAAAGATCAGGGAGCCAGGAGAAAGAAATATACACTCGTACAAGATCGTCTCGAGCACACGTAGCTGTGTTTGGGCCGTCACCATCTAACCACAACTCCTACACACGTTCCCAACTCGCACAGAACTGAGTAAAGTCGTTCACCAAACGATGAGCACGCGTCTCGCAAGCAGACAACCGCAACCCCATCTGACGGTTGGCTCAGTAAACTTGTTACTACGGTACGCAACGCGAAGCTCGCAAGCCTCATGCATGTTTCAACCACGTGGTACACTGGAGCCCTGCACACAGATTAATGAAGAACTGCATGTGGCAACAGATTGTCCTATTTATCATCTACACACTTAGTCGAATGCAAATAATTACAATAAAAACGGCATGCTTCAATCAACAATATTTGTACGTAAGAAAAAGGTTATATCTTTCGCCATCGTGTGCCTGCCATCATCAGAATCCGTGGCAACATAAATTCATATCAGGAAATGATTTAGTTGCTGAAGACTGATGCATTCTGGGCTGTGACACCGTGTTGTTTTGTAAGTGGAAACTACAATTTCGAAGTAATGTACTACGTCCATCTTCACAGTTGAAATGCCTTTGACTTCTCACTTACACCCTTTATCGAATGGAAATTATTTAACTGGCTTAGAGTTACTTCTTCGTGGTCGTGAAGACGGTGTATTAATGAAGGTAGAAACTAAGTTTTCGTTGTTATTACTATAAGCATCTTCAGTATCGAAGTCACTAGGTTCAGAATTTTTTGAACATGTAGTATTTTTTCGACCTTGAAGGTGGAAACGGCAGCTTCCTCGGAACAGCTGGTATCCACTCACAATACTACAGAGTGTCATGAGCCATAACATCTCAGTCTGAAAACTCACTGCCGTAAAAACCTCAGATCTTAGATGTACCCGGACTGGAGGCGGAGGTTCGGTTTCTGGTAGAGAGCAGAGATTCATCTCTTCTCCACAGACCTGCTCGGGCTCACACAGCTTCCTGTTCAGTGGATACCGGGGACCTCATCCTTGAGAGTAAAGCGGCCTCGCTTGAGCTGACCGCTCACCTCCATCTTAGTGCCCAAGTCATGAATAGTGGAGCTATACTTCCACCCCCACATACGCCTTCATGGTGTAGTGTTTAATTAATTATGCAATAGTACCATCATAACACGATGATTCATGAAAGTTGTACCGTATTATCATGAAAGAACCGGGTAAGATAAGTTGAAGGACGAATCCGAACTAGACCTGTGTGTTTTATGGTAAATGAGAAATAAATCTTCGAAGTATGAGACTTTACGACTGGCAGCCTACAGCCAATCATTTCGTCTTGGCGACAAACCCTTTGAGACTCACTACCAGTAATTTTATCTTCCAACTAACTATTTGCGGTTATAGTCCTCATGTAACATCCTCTCTGGCAAGAGGATGGTTATGTAGTTTACAATTTCTGCTGGCCCTCGCCAGCGCAGTCATTCTCGGGTCCGGGTCCCGCTCGACTTATGACCATATTTTACTGTTTCAGATTCGAGAATCCCCCAACCTGGAGGGCCAGATCCCGGTATTTATATACCTCAACAACCTGCTGGCCGGGTTATACCCCTAGAAACTGGGTTTCACTTCCGTTGCCTCCCACGACTCACGGTATTGGACCTCAACTCCACACAGGATTCGAGGCATGAAATTAATCTAAATAGTATTTATGAATTCAGTTCGTACCTCACAGGCAACACACTGAGTCCACATTGCAACATAAATCTGTTACGGCAATTCAGAGAAATAATGGCTGTTTGTTCTGAGAACAGAGCGGAAGAGACACATAAACTGCGTGGGCAAAACTCAGAACTATTTAATTTTAAAGCAGATGGCGCATATAGCAATCACCGCTTTGTAAATGGTTAAAACAGCATTCAGAATAAACAGAAACCTTTGAAAATAAAAGTGGATTCCGAAACAATATTAACGAACTAGGGAGTAGAGTTCTGTCTTCTGGGATATAACATCATGTAGTGCTTTGGAAATTAACTGACGTTTCGGGGGAATATGTCGCCTCCATCTTCAGCGTAGAAGAATAAGCCAAGCAAGAAATCAGCGGAAATCAGTTGACAAGCAATACTTGGTTTACTGCTCGGCTTATTCTTCGACCTTAAAAATGGAGGCGACATGTTCCTCAGCCTTTTCGGTTAACTTTCAACTGACTACACGGTGTCACATCCCAGAACACAGAACTCTTCATAATCACCGCTGTGATAATCTAAAATCCTTCAAGCACAGAGTAATCAAACGACATGTGCGAGCTTCCAGAACTATTGGTTGTTTATAATGTTATTTTCAGACGATCATAAACTTAATAAGCTATATGATATTACATCGAATGAGATGGTAATATGGCAATTCATGAAGAGCAAATAAGAATTCGGAAAGAAGAAAGTTGTCTTCTTGGATCTGGCGCAGTATATTCTTCGTTTTAACCGACGTTTCGGAGGAACATATCACCTCCATCTTCAGGGTAGTTGAGTTGTGTCGGTTAAAACGAAGAATACGCAGCGCCAGATCCCAGAAGACGACTTTCTTCATAGTCATCTCCGTGAAAACCTCAAAACTTACAAAGAATTCGGAAGTTAAGGGCAGTGGACTCTTTGAACGCGCTATCTAGATATTAACCGCCAATGAGCAATAGGCCTACAGGTATAACCCATGATTCAGCGCGACTATTGCTAGCAAGTATGTAGAATAAATACCAAAAAGAGAGTTGTGCTCGACAGCTTACCGTAACGTTAACTCTCTAGACGTGTATTAGGGAGACTGTTGGGTTCGAATCTTGACAGACACCGAATATCCTGACTGAGGCTTTTCGTGATGTTCCTTAGTCCTTCCAGGTAAACACCTCGATATGATCTCGACTGGGCCACGACATCTTCCTTCTAGATCCCTTCAAATTCATCAATGATCTTACCACTCACTATACAGTCTAGCTATTGAAAGCTTTATTAAACATCCCCCCCCCCCCCACACACACACACGCAAGAACGCTGAATATTGTATATATTCAAAATATTGTAAACATATATCCAAGGAAATGTTTGCAGAAGGAAGAAAATTATAGTGTCACGTGATTTAGTGATTATAGATGTGTTTTGGATTGATGACTGGTTTTATTCGAATCTTTGATACAGTGCGTGACTACATTTTACAAATCCGTATTACATACACTAGGGTCTACCATCAAGTTTTAACTTGCCGTTGCTTGATAGTGGCTTCCAATGGCGGACGTTCCCCTTCCTCTGGGCTCCCGAAATCTCCCCGGCCCTAGTTACGAGTTTCTCATAGCAACGGCTTTACAATGACTGTACCGCAGTTCTCTCACTTACTCAGTAACTAACTCAGTCACTCACCAACCAACTCAACTCAACGGACTCAGAACCAGAGTCAGAGTAACTTTACGACGGGCGGTTTACTGTCAATCAGTTCGTCTTGGTGCCAAGCCCCTTGAGACCAACGACCAGCGTTCTTTACCAACTGAACATTTGCGGCTATAGTCCTTATGTAACGTGCTCTTTGACGAGAGACTGGGTCCGTTGTTTATAACTCCTGCTGGTCCTCACCAGCGCAGTTAATCTCAGGTCCGAGTCTCGCAGGACTCATGACCATATTTTTGCTGTCTGAGATTTGAGACTCCTCCATCCTGGAGGGCTAGGCCCCCGTATTTGTATCCCACAGGAACAGGGAGCCCAGTTATGACCCCAGGAACTGGGTACCCTTTCCTTCACCTCCTACGACTGTCCTGGTTATAATATTTCGGCACGGACCGCACAAAAACACCACTCCATTATTGTTGTTCAATTGTTGCCATTAAAATTTGCTTGTTTACAAAGTCGTTACATAGCAACGGCTGTTGTGTAGTTGCTTTTTCGAGGTCGCTGCACAGCAACGGGTTTATATACCAAAATAAGTTTAGTTAACATGAGTTTGGATTAACTAAATGTAGAATTCAGTGAGGATATCTAAGGCGTGAAAGGTAAGCTTCATTGTCCCATAATGAGATGTTAGTAAGTTAATTAAAAAGTTACACTGGATATCATACAATGGGAGGAGGCACACATTCGTATGTTTTCTGACAAATCTGTGTGCATGTGTGTCCACCTCTGGTCGTTCGCAATCGTTCTCTTTCATCACTGAACTGTGTTGTTTTGTGAAACAAAAAGAGATACAAAAACTTTATAAAAATTTCAGCTTTAAAATCGGTGTCATCAAACATAGAGAATGTATCCATTGTAATTTGTTTAACAAAGTGCATTTTTTCTAAAACTATCAAACCATTTGACTGATTCTAACAAGGTTGATATGACCTGCTAACTGAAGTGTATCAAATTGCATAGCGTTAAGTTATATGTTCATACAATTTTGTAACTGATTTATTTAGCGATTTCCAGTTCTGCATTCAAATTCCACCTACACATATTACAACACAAACATTTCACGTTATTTTTAATTAATAATGATTTAAATCCTCTGCGCGATGCAGATTGCTTTATTTATACTTGATGCACATCTTTTTTACTTTTAAACAAATTACCAACGTTAACATAATTAATATCACAAGTTCATCACCGTCATAAAAGATTTCTGATACCGCATCCTACCAATTACATGCAGTTTGCAACCTCATAATCTGTTAAGTTTTCTCTAAGTTCTGTATTAAAATCATCCTACGAGTAAAAAAGAACACGATATGCAAGTCGGAGTAATTCAGAACAAAATGATAGAAAATAAAGAAATATACAAATATTAACAATAAAAATTAGTCCACGCTTTAGCTCAAGCGATTAGTCGCTGGCTTCCCACCGCGGCTGCCCGGGTTCGATCCTGGGGTCTGGTCAAGTGGGATTTGTGGTGGACAAAGTGACGCTGGGCCAGGTTTTCTCCGAGTACTTCGGTTTCCCCTGCCAATTTCCATTCCACCAATTGCCTCACAATCACCCTCATCTATCATCTGGGGCTGGTACAATAGGCCAGAAGTGGCCGCAGTACAAGGGACTTAGTCCCACCCCACTAGCTTAAAAAAGCAGTAAAAATTAGAAATATTTTTTTTAAATAACGTTCTTATAT